GGGCCTGCTGGGGGCGGGGCCTGCAGGTACCTCAGGGCGAAAATGTCTGTTACTCACAAGGTGGGACTCGACGCGAAGGGTTAATTTAGGTGAGCACAAACGGATCTTATAAAACATGGAGTTTACCAGTGGTTATTGGGTTGTGGCAGTGTCTTCTTACATTTTTCGAGGGGTTTCGGGCACAGATGCCTGATACTTTCATGACTGTAAAAGCATGCGGAGTGCAGATGTTGCCTTACCACTCTCCAGTATTTATATATTTCTACGTGCTCCTGCCATTTTTATTTTTTCTTTTATTACTCAGTTGTGTCTCTCTTCTCATGAGCTGTACCAGATTCTTCTGAGGAAGTGTATGTTATGTGTATGTAATGTGTATGTAATGTACACGTGTATGTGTGTGCTATGCTTTGAAGAACCCACAACAATTTATTGTTGTTTAGACAATTATTCTCTCACCCGATGACCCCTCCCCACCCGGGAAGGGGAATTGGGGGAAAAAACCCAAGGAAACCTGGGGATTGAAATATAAACAGATTTAATACAATAAGCCTAGATAATTAACATTAATAGCACTAAAGAACCAATATTGATCCCAATACCAATACAAAATATACAAGAATTATACTCAATTATATCCATAGGAAGCTGTGCACTCCTGGCAGTAGACAGTAAATGGGGGACACTGTGAGTGCTATGGCTTTGGGAGGAAGGGAAGGCCTCAGAGGTCCAGCACCGGTGGTAAGGAATTCTCAGGATGGCATCCATCAAGGAAGAGAGAGAGAACTCCTCAGCAAACTCCCAAATTTACATTGAATGTGACATTCATAGTATGAAATAATCCCGTTGGCCAGCTTGGGTCAAGTGCCCGGGTCTCGCTCCTCCTTATCCCTGCACTTGGTAAGCTCGAAAACACTGAGACCTTGAAACCCACATACCATAGCTGGCTATAAAGTAAATATTTTCACAAATTCAGGCACTGGCGACTTCTGAAATTGCAGTTTCCCCTGGCATTAGAAGAGACCTTATTGAAACGTAAAATTACTGAAAGATAAATTAATCCTGTGCCGCTCAAACCGGGACAGTGTGTTCTACTCCCAACAGCAGGATCACCAGCCCACCCCATTTCTGAGATAAGCAGCGGTTCCAGGAGCACTAGAGAGAAAAAACTCCGGGATGAAAAGCACCTAATCCGTGCGAAAGCTTTGTTTTGAGACCCACACCATCTTTGGCTGATCTCCTTCTGGACTGCTCATGGTGCTTTTGGGTTTGGGCTGGCGGAGGGCTCTGCGAGGCGCTGCCAGCGAGGGGGCAGGTTTCCCTCACTACAGCCAAAAAGCTCAAAATCCCAAGAAAACTGGCTTTTTTAAATATATTTTATTTTTCATTTTTATCAGTTCTTCAAGATACTGGCTTTTGGAAACAGAACCTTACACTTTTGTCTGTTACCCCCTCGGGTTTGGGTGCTGCTGAAGCACTGGGCCAGGCTGGGATATGCATGTGCCACCACCATCTTTATTCTTGGTCACCTGGAAGTATTTGTCCCTTCCCCAAGAGAAGGCTTCAGCCCCTCCTATGACATATTCGACCGTTTTTAGGAGAAGTGGAGAGAGCTGCTAGTCCAGCCAAGGAAAACAGCAGCCTTCCTCTCAGACTTTGCCCAGAAAACCCTCTACCCTCCTCTTTTCTCGTGTTTATTATTGGTAAGAAAAATGGATGTTTGGGGGGTGGGGGGGTTTTGCGCAGCTGTTGATGAAACAGAGCCCTCCCCTTCCCCCCGCAGAGGCCACATTTATCCTGCCCGCAGCCCTAAACCGTAAAAACAGGGTTTATACCCCGAGACCCGACGTTTCTCCCCCAAATAACCCCGCTGTTGGCCCTCCCCCCC